ATAAATTTATAAAAACAAAACACAAAAACTTGTATAAAACTTTACAAAAGCCAGAGAATAAAACAAAATTAATAAATTTACTATATATATATATATATATATATATATATATATCAATTTAAGTTTTATAAAATTACTAGAAAAGTACACGTGCAATCCAGCGAGATAAATCTCCATTTAAATGTTTAATTTTTTATTCTGTCTCTATCGAGATAATACGATTTTAGGAGTTTTTTTTTTGTCAAATAAAATATAAATTTGAAGATAGCATAAAAATTTGGAAATAAATAAATAAATCGATATTAATATCAAATTAACTATTTAATAGTTCTCGTTTTTTTGGTGTAACTTCTTTAATTCAACTTTTATTATAATTTAATTTAGATTTAATAACAAAGTAATTTATTTTTGGTTTAATAATATAGTTTTTATAAAGATAATAATTAAACACTATGTTATAACTCAATGATTATCTTAATTATGTTTTAGATTTTCTATATTTAAAATATATGTTTATTCTGTATTTGATTATGTTTATCTGCAATTAGTTACATAAAATTAAAAATAGAGCTTTAATAAGTTGTATTTACGTAAAATTACTAGTAATCTTGAATTTTAAGTAATATGCATCAATAAATAATACTTTATACATAAAAAAATAATTTTTAAGAGTTTCTGTCAAATGTTTTATAATATAGTTTAGATTAAAAGAAAATAAAATGGTTAAAAAACAACAAAGAAATTAAGAAAAATATGAATGTTCATAAATGTAACGTCAATTTTTGCAATTATCTTCTATACTAATTATTTTTAAAAGTGACATCCACTATCATATCAACTACAATTTTAAAATTAAAATACATATTTTAATCATTTATAATTAATTAATATCCTTAGCAATAGCATTAGCATTAGCATTAAATTAATTAATAAACCTTTAAATAGTTTAGAGTTTACAAAATAAAACATTATATTTAGTCGTATTTTTTAAACAAACACAATTTTGTTTATGTTTAATGATGTAATTATAATCATAATGATTTAGAAAATTATTTTTAACATTTTCATTAAATTAATATTAATTTTATATAAATATTATAATTAGTTTAATTTGAATCATCAGTGTAAATGTTAGAATCTAAGATAGCGTTTGGTTCGCAGAATGTTTTTGGATGAAATGAAATCAGTCAAATGAATTTGACTTTGAAGGAATTGGAATAAAATATTGTCAGGTTTGACCACCTGTTTGGTTGACATAATTGGAATGAAATCTATCAAAGGAGTTGGTGTTCGATGGAGAAATTGAAAGATGAGAAATCAAACCTGTTAAGCGAGTTGGTGTTCGAGGGAGAAGCAACAGATCAAGTAGGTATCGGCTTCTTGAGGAGAAATTGTTGTCGGCTTGTTGAGAGAGATTAGGGTATTATGAGATGGGGTGAGGGTATATTGGGTATTATGAAAATAATACATAATAAATTTCATTACATTAAAATCCCATCTATTTATCAAAGAATGTTAAAATCTTTATCCATGGAATTCAAAGGAATCTAAAGATTCCTTCATTTGAAAAGAATGAACCAAACAAAGGAAATAAATCTGGTAAAATGAATTCAATATTCCAATTCCTTCTGATTCCTCCAGAATCTGTGAACCAAACGCCACCTAAGAGTATCTTCAAAAGTTATGTTAGAATATAGATTTTAAAGATTTTTGATATATTTTTATTCTGACATTTATGCTATACCACATGTTAAATGTAACATCCCAAAATTTCGAATACTTAAATATATCAAAACTAGTATCCCAAGATCAAAACTTACATTGCAGCGGAAATAAAATTTCTAATCTTACAATTTATATCACTATCTAAACTTACAATTTTGACGAACATACTTTGCTCGATATAACAGTGTCTTGATCTGCACATGTCATTCTTTGATGCTAATCCTTATTTATCTCTTTATCCAACTTTTCTTTCCAGTCTAATAGCCGCCTGGGTGAAAAAGTTTTAAAAGAGTTTTGGGTGAGCCTTAGGCCTAGTGAATCCACGGTTTTCATGCATGAACAATAACTTTTATTATAAACAATTTTCACGAAGCTTCATAAATTAGCATGCCTTGATGAGAATAATATTTTTCACAAAATAAATATACTATAATGCGTGTCTACATCACAARGCAACAACGTCATGAGAGATGTCTACCTCACACAGCATTACCTGGCGAACTCACACAGCATGTCCGCACTTACGGCTTAGACAAGCTCACAAAGCATACTCGTCTTTACAAAATCATACCGTAGTACATCCCCATTGACACACAAGTACTCAAAACACATATTATAAAAATATCGAACTTTTCACGCATATATAACATATCAAAAATCTCGAGAAACTTCAAACAACTTTTGAATAATGAGGCATGCAACCATTTTAAAAATAAATCACGTGTAACTCACAATACATGGCGTAGCCCAAACCGATCTTTGAAGTAGCTAGTGTCTCCCCGATTGGTGCCAAACTAACTACGATGTAGAGCACCGTCAACTCTCATTACAGCGTCCACAAACTCTCATTACAGCGTCCACCGTCGTATTTTCTCACAATAGTTCTCCTTCTTAACCCCAAACTACACATAAAGCTACAAACTCCCAAAAACGCATCAAACTTGTTGCGCTTCACCAAATCATCCTCATCTTTCACCTCTCTTATACGAGTTTTCTTTCCCGAGAATTTGTCATCTCTATGCTTGAAGACCTCCCCATATATATATACTAAGTCATCGGCGGTTTCACGGAATATGAAACAATAAGCCATAATAAATGGTCGTAGGTTTCATGACCATTGAGTTTCCCGTCATTAAATTGCATTCAATTTATTTATTTATTTATTATTATTATTTTGGGTTATTACATTAAAATAGAGAAAAGAATAAAGAGAAGCTAGAAATCTTATTAATAGAAGACATTGAAATTAAGTGTTTAGGAGTAAGGGTGCTCATGGGTTGGATTGATCGGGTTGAAAACATTTGAACAACTCAACCTAATGTTTGTGGTTTGAAAATTTTTAACCCAACTCAATCAGAACCAAAGTGCAACCCAACCCAACCCGTACGGGTTGGTCGGGTTGATACTCTGGTATATTAAAATATTCTTCTAACCTTGAATATGTTATTTCTCTACTCATAATTTCTTTTTCATCATCAACTATTTGATATAACTTATCCATACTTCTTACGTATATCACATTCAATTAATTTTCTCAATTTACATATATATGTTCACAATTACTGAACATATATACGAATGAGTTATATAAAGATGTGAATAGATTGAAAATATGTGTATATGAAAAGCATACATGATAGTTTAATTGTCTAATGTACATATTAATAGAAATTTAACAATCATATTAAATCCAATAAATAAAATGATATCGGGTTCATCGAGTTGGGTTGAGTTCAAATAATAGTAACCCAATATAAACTCAATATCTACGGTTGAACAATTTTACAACTTGATTAGACATCGGGTTGCTTCGGGTTGAGTTATTTCGTGTTGGGTTGGATTGATCGGGTTTTTGAGCACCCCTATTTAGGAGAGATGAATAATATTTTATTAATTGTGTTGAATATATTTTAATAATATAGTTAACGAACGATAAAATTACTAAAATAGAGTAGTTGTTGGAATTTGATATCACTTTTTTAGAGATTTAACTTTTGATACTTTATTTTAATAAAAAACTATAACATAGTTGTTGCAGATACTCTAACAAATCTCTCTTTTAAAGTCAATGCAATTCAAGATAAGGAAAAACTTTAAGATTTGATATTTGTTCAGATGCGTAATTCATGATTTAATTACGATTTGGGATAATTTTTGCTGTATAGACCAATGATTGGTATACTGAAGATATGGTATTAAATTTTCGTATTAAGTTTACTTTGTGATATATGTTTTTGATGATATTACGTTATTAGAATTATTTCAGAATCCAGGTCAATTACTAAAACATTAGTTTAAAATGACATTACATAAGATGACTTGTCAAGGGTCCACTGATTGGCGAATGTGGGATTAATTTATGGTAAGCATTCAATATCAATGTGCCTTAAGATAAGGCATTGAAGAAGGACATATGACTGACCTTTGATTTGATGGAATGAATTTGAAAGATTTTGATTTCGTTAAAGAATTTCGTGAAAAGATTTGAAATTAGAAGGAAAATAAATAATTAAATTAATTTTTATTAATCAATTATTACAAAACAAGTATTTTTAACATAAATTAAAACATAATCTTGTGTGATCCTGTAAAATACTAATCATCTGTATGATTTCAAAATTCTGTGTTTGTGAGAATTCAAATCACATGAATGTATGAAGAATCATGCAAAACTCTAGAAAAAAAATAATGATGATGTTTAGATAAGTGCATCAAAAAGATTTAACGAACCAAGGCAATCCAAATTGCTCTTGTAAAAGATCTGCTACAGAGCGAATACGTTTATTTTTCAAAAGATTCATATCGTCAACTGTACTCATTCCAAATTTTATTCGAATCAAATGATCCGCGACTGCCAATATATCTCACGGTAACAAAAATGTATTATTCTGAGGTCTATCAAGGTTCCGTCTCCGATTCATATTTCGTCAAAAAATGGTTGTATCAAAAAATTAATATCAAATCAAAATAAAAGCTAAGCAAAAGTTTGTGGTAATTACCAAAACTTGAAATATAAGAATATTTCCAAAAATATGAGGCACAAAGAGGTGTAATGGGGCACATAAATCCTCATTGCTCTAAAGACTTGTAATTGCTTCGCTTGTGAATGGGAAGGGGTAAGGCAAACAAACTAATAAACTCAACACCAAAACTATGATTCCAAGTGCTACATACTTGTCATCCGGCTCGCTTATTTCTTCAGCCAGTGGAGCGATTGGCCCTCGTTGTAAGAAAAAGATCAACACGACCCAATAAAATGCCACATCATCCAGTAACGACGAAAGCCCCAACAGCACAATAGAAGCAGCCGTGAACCGAGATGCAGCCTGCAAAACACAAATGAAACTTTAAGCGTGAAAGTGTTTCAACATGAGATGTGGAATAGGGGCCCAATTATACATGTTCTAGGGTTTGTTTGTTAGCAGCTTAATGACACTCATAACTCTATTGTCAGTTATATATGACTGTTTGGTAGTGACTTAATGATATTGAATTCCGTAAGCTTCTAGGAGAAGTTTTATGTAGAAAGCCAAGTTTTTTCCAGACCTACCCCTCACAATTAAAAACAAGCTCCTTTCATCTTTGAAAACCCCTTACAAACAAAAACATTCTTAATCTATACAGACAGATTAAGCCACGCACACACAACTTTATCCATATATGTTTTAACTTTTAGCCAAAAGTATACATTTTTAGCTCAATAATAATGTTTTTGGTTTTTATCCAATTTTGAGATTCCCAATTCCGGTTTTTAAAGAATGTTAGAAGAATGATTCTATTTTAGTGAATTTCATATTACTAGGATTGCTTATAAAAACAACTTATTGACTTATTTCGGTGTAACATAGGTAATAAGCACTTTTGGTGTTTGGATAAACAACTTATACCGTAATTTGTAAAACTTTTAATATAATATATGATATGAAGTTCTATATTTTTGTTTTATTTACTACTCATCCTGTCAATCTATAGCTTATAGGTGTAACACGGCTTAAAAAGAGCAGAACAACCCTAGGAGACTTCATAGCCATAAAATCAAAAGAAACGAAAATCAGGAAGATTGGAATTCAAAAACAAACCTTTCGTCCCCAAATTGCAAAAGAAATCCGTCCACCGTCAAGCTCTCCTGCAGGGATGCTGTTGATTGCATTGATCAGGAGTCCTGCCCATGCCCATATCACCAAGGGATTGATTGATATTGTTGCTCCTTCTTTAAGAACATCGCCAAGAAGCAGCTTTGCTATACAGAAGAACAAAATAAACTATAAGTTGGTAGGTTTTCAGACTTGGAACTTGCCAATTGGTTATCGTTATTCTACCTGTTGTATTCACGATTACCTGTTATATTACCTATCTTATTTACTGCTTGCAACACCTTTCTTTTGTGCACAAGTTGGGGGTCTTCATGGAAATGGCCTCTCAATACTAGTGGTCGAGGTAAGGTCTACCTCCATCCTACGCCTCCGGACCCTACTTTCGAGTGGGATATACTGGTTCATTTGGTTTGGTTTGGTATTAAAGGGCCAATTGGCTCAGGTTTTAGCAGTTGAAGTGAGATCAAACAAGAAAGTGCCAAAATGTGATATATTGGGCATTCAAAACCTTAATGTTACACAGGTGTTTCAACCCTCTCCTAATCATGTTGATATAAGCAAGAAATTCTAATAGATGAATACAAATTGATGATGCTTTCAACAGGAAAAGACCATGCAACAATGTGGTCCACAAAATTTTTCCCAGATGTTAACTCAACAACAACAATCTCAGTATATCTCATCCGAATGTGGGGTTTGGGAGGAAGTGAGATGCAACCAGACCTTACCTCCACTCCCAAAGAGTAGAACAGAAAAAATTGCGGAAAGAACGTTTGAAAAGAAGTTGAAAACAACAATGATCCCTGTTCAGTCAGCTCAATTTGTACTAGCAATCTATCACCCAACAATTCCCTTCTAACTGTGAATGTAGAAGCCAGCTAAAGCAATAAAAGCTTAATGAACTATACAGTAAAGTAGCTGAAAGGAGAGATTATCACAAACAACAGAATATCAAATAATATAGCGGGCAAGGAAGTATATGAGATGTAGCATACCTATCCCACCAGCAAGAAGTGACTCGTGAAACACAGAAGCATCAACAATGACCCCTATTCCATCAGCTGGTGGCAAGTAAAACCCCAAGAGCAAAAGAACAAGACCTAGTGAGAACCCTGCCAAAGGTCCTGCTGCTGCGATCTTGAGAAGATCCTCACGGTTTGGTACAATGTTTAGAATCCTCGTTATTGCACCAAAAGAGCCTATCTGCCACCAAATAGATCATTAGTTCTAATTCCACACTCTGTGTGTGTTTAAGCCTTGGATAGAGGTCAGATCTGCATATCTCCCACCCTTCCAAACTCCACCTCCCAGTGGGATATATTGGATTCATCTGATTTGCTTAACACCCTGTATGTTTAACCCAGGGATAGAGGTGAGGTCTGGTCTCCACACTGATAAACCTCCTATTCGTTTCACTTACAAGAGAAGGGGTTAGTTGTTAAAGGGTCTTAGCTGTTATTGTGAATAAGTGAAGGGTATTTTTGGTACTCTTGGGTAGAATAAGGCGGCAAGTCTCCTTTAAGTGGGGATGAGTTGTTAGTGGTTGAGATATTCTGTTTTTTGTATTTTCAAAGTGAGTGTAAACTCTTTGGGAGAGAACCAGACCTCTCGAAAGTCTGTAATATTCCATTTTCTGTTTTGATTACAATAAACAACCGAAAATTGCTATCAGTTTACATCAAATTGGTATCAAAGGGGTAAGATCCAGCCATGGCGACAAGGAGTGCAGCAACCAGAATTGAAGATTTAGAAAACAGCGTCGGTTCGATCGAGAAAAGTTTGGAACGAATTGTACAACAGATTGAGAAATTAAGCAGCGATGTGGCTAGTAAATTGAATTCAATCGGTTCATCGGATGGAGAAGACGTGGACGATTCAGGGAGATCGAAAAGGAGGAACAATGAAAAACAGGAATCGAGTCGATTCCTAGCTGTGAAACGCCGGAAACTTGAAATTCCAGCGTTTGACGGAAGCGATCCAGATGGTTGGGTTCTCAGAGCAGAACGTTACTTCTCTTTGAATCGATTATCATAGGAAGAAAAAATTGATGTTTCTTTCATAGCATTTAAAGGAGCAGCTTTGAAATGGTTTCAATGGGAGAATAGACGTCATCCAATTTTACGTTGGAAGGATCTTCGTAGATTGATTTTGCGTCAATTCCGATCAATGGCGGCAGGAACTTTATGCGAACAGTTTCTGGCCGTTAAACAAGAAGGTATGGTGGAGGAATTTAAGATGAAATTCGTGGAGTTAGCTGCACCGTTAGAAGGAATTCCAGAGGAAGTGTTTATGAGTCGATTCATAAACGGTTTGGAGAATTCAATTAAGGCCGAGGTACGTCTCTTAAATCCTGTAACTTAGAGGAAGCGATGGAGTTAGCAATAAAAATCGAAGTGAAGAATGTTGTGATTGCAAAAGAAAGGTCGATATCTGGATCGAAGAAATCGTTAGCTATGTTTGCCGTTAATAGGAGTATCCCCGGTAGTACTAATTTAGGGAATAATTCAAATACGGTGGGTAATTCGACGAATAGAACGGGATCTGAATACAGAAGATTGTCCGATCAGGAGGTACAACAGAGGCGAGCCTTGGGTCTCTGTTATCGTTGCGATGAAAAATATTAACCGGGCCATAAGTGTAAGAAGAAGGAATTGAATGTTTTGCTGGTTCAGGAGGAAGATGTAATAGAGTCGGGTGACAGTAGTCATGAAAATACAGCTTTAAACGCAGCTGATGTGGTTGATGTGGGTCAAGAAGTGAAGGTTCATCTTAACTCGGTGGTGGGATTAACAAATCCTAAAACCATGAAGATGGAAGGATTCATTGAAAACCAAAAAGTTGTAATTCTCATCGATAGCGGTGCGACGCACAATTTCATTTCGAAAGAGATTGTCAAAAAATTGAATCTCAAGGTAGATAAGATGAAGGAGTATACGATAACGATGGGGACGGGGAATAAGGTGAGGGGAGATGGAATTTGTAGACATGTTATTTTGGTGATGCAAAGTTTAGACGTTGTCGAGGATTTTTTGCCCATTCAATTGGGTAATAGCGATGTGATTTTGGGTATACAGTGGTTGGAAACTTTGGGATCAACCTATACCAATTGGAAGCAGCAGGTTATGAAGTTCACAGTCGGAGGAAAGTCGGTGGCATTGAAAGGTGATCCAGCATTGGGTAGATCTTTAGTTTCACTGAAGGCTATGGGAAAACTAATTCAACAGGAAGGTCAAGCTGTGTTAGTGGAGTTTGGGGCTTGTATGTTGACAAATGAAGGTCAAATTGTACGCTTGCATGGCATACCAAGTTCTATAATTTCTGATCGTGATAACGTGTTCCAAAGTATATTTTGGAAAGAGTTATTCAAGCTGCAAGGAACAACTTTGAAGTTCAGCACAACCTACCACCCACAGACGGATGGACAAACAGAAGTTGTCAACAGGGGGCTGGAACAATACTTACGATGTTGGATTTCAGATCGACTGCGTCGGTGGAGTAAATGTTTACCGTGGGCTGAATTGTCGTACAATACAACTTTTCATACAGCCCTTAAATGTTCTCCTTTCAAGGTGTTATATGGCCGAGATCCACCCCCTTTGTTGAGATATAAGAGTTCCTCTTCTATATTCCAATCGGTCGATATAGAATTGATGAATCGGGATGAAATATGGGATGAAGTGAGAATGCATCTCTTGAAAGCCCAAGCAGAATGAAGCAACGTGCCGATTTAAAAAAAACAGAGCTGGATTTGGTTTTGGGTGAGTGGGTGTTCTTGAAATTGAGACCGTACCGACAGAAATCTTTGGCTAAAGGGAACAACCCAAAATTGTTAGCAAGGTTCTATGGTCCTTATAAAGTGTTGGAGAGGATTGGTAAAGTCGCTTACCGTTTGGATTTACCAAAGGGGGCGAAGATACATCCTGTTTTTCATGTGTCTCAACTTCGAAAAGCTGTGGRAAAWTGTGCATCTTCGAAAGACATTCCAGCTCAATTGACTGAAGAATTGGTATTACAWRTGGAACCTGAATCTTTGTTAGATACAAGAGAAATTGTGCAAGGTGATCCAGGAAGCTTARAAGTTTTGGTTAAATGGAAAGSGTTACCAGATTTTGAAGCTATTTGGGAAAATTTAGAAGCCTTGATTCAGCAGTTTCCCAACAGTCACCTTGAGGACAAGGTGAAAGCTTTGGAGGGAGGT